TCGCCGATTCAGCAAGTGACGATGGAGGTGAACAAATCGGAGCAAGCGAAACCGATGTCTAAGGAAATAATGACTTCCACAAGTGATTCGGGATTCGACAGCGAGTTTCCTGAATCATCGATGGATATGACATTCTTAAAATGCGGATACATGAGATTGAACAAATCGCGTGAGGAAACTGAGCAATGATTATCCAAAATCGATGATAAGCTCGACTCGATAGTACAATTCATCGAGAGATCTGAGGTGTGTGATCGGGAAAAGGAGAGCCGTCCGCGAACAGCTCCAAAAACAACAACCGATCTCGAAACCAGGTATCACACTCTAATCTGGAACAATCGCTAGGTTATCGAGTTGGGATATTGAATCTTGCAAATAGAGAGAGTATGCTGCAGAAAATTGAGATGCCTAAGTTCTCCGGACCACTTCCATTTGTGTGGATTCAAGATGTGGAAAGTTTTTTTGCTATCGGTCAGTATGATGATGAGGAGAAATTGGAGTTGGTCACCTTGAGTATTGAAGACAGAGTTAAGAAGTGGTATAAGTGGGAAATGAGCAGAAGAAGTTTCCGTAACTGTGATGACTTCAAGAGAAAATTGCCAAAGAGATTTTCAGAATCTATTGAGGAAGATCCAGCAATCAGGTTGTTCTCGATCATGCAGACAGGTTCTATTGCTGATTACGTTTCAGAATTTGAAGAGTTATCCGAGCTGGTACCAGGTCTAGATGATGACAATCTGACGAAGATCTTCTATAACGGACTGAACAGAGAAATGAAGGAGGTTATAAGAATGAAAGAACCCAAAGGCTTGGACAACCATATTGCAGCAGTATAGACAATGGAATCCAGCGATTTCTGCAAGTTGTTTCGATCGAGAAGATACACAAGCAGAGGACAAGACCAAGAAACAATGGATCACAAACAAATCTAAATCATATGGGGGTCTTAAAGAAGGATCTTACACAGGGTATGACGGCAATAAAGTGTATCAGAATGGGGGAACTACAGGAAAGTTGACAAGTCATCAAGGTCAAAGGAACATAAATCAGGAGAATCAGTTTAAGCAGAGTGAACCGAGACCGAGACAAGTTTATACTGATGCAGAGTTAGATAAAATGAGAAATGACAAGATTTGTTTCAAATATCGCGCACCAAGATGGACGAGAGCACATGTTTGCCCAAAGAAAGAACTTCACATTTTGACAGTGATCAAGGGGATTGAGATGGAAGTACTGAATTTATGAATACTCATTCACTGAACTCAGGACCTTATCTCTGAATTCGTTTTTGGGGATTCATTCACCCAAAAGTACAAAACTATATGGTTAAATCAATAAAGCAGACGTGATAGTAATGCTCGACAGTGGAGCATCCCACAACTTCATCACACCAGAAGTTGTAAAAAGATTGAAGCTGACAGTGTATGAAGACCCCAGTCTTGACGTTCTCTTAGGCAATGGAAGTATAGTTAAAGGCATATGATTGTGTACAGGCTTGAACTTTCAGCTAGCGAGTGTCACCTTCACGTCTGATTTCATAGCATTAGAATTAAGAGCAGTGGATGTTATTCTAGGGATACAATGGCTCGAGACTTTAGGCAAGTGTGAAGTGGACTGGAAGAAACAAGTGCTGTCATTCTTACACGAAGGCAGTTGTGTGACATTGCTCGGAGATCCATCTATTCACAATGCAAAGTTTTCAATAAAGTCCTTGTCCCTTATCTCTTCTACTAAGGCAAAAGGAAGATGAGAACTTTTAGCTATTAGCAGTGAGGTAACATCAACAACTCCAATAGTTACGGGACCGCTTAACCACCTACTAGAGAAGTTTAACCATGTCTTTGCACTATCAAACGGCTTACCACCATACAGAGGCACATAACATGCAATAAACTTGACTCCAAGGGTGACATCTATCTCAGTCAGACCATATCGCTTTCCACACGCTACAAAAGTAGTCATGAAAAAGATGGTCTCTGAGATGCTTGAATCGGGATTCATCAGGACCAGCACTAGCCCATTCTCAAGTCCGGTGCTGTTAGTCAAAAAGAAAGACTCATCCTGGCGATTTTGTGTGGACTATCGAGCTTTAAACAAAGCAACAATACCTGATCAATTCCCGATTCCAGTTATTGACCACTTGCTCAATGAGTTGTACGGAGCAACAATCTTCTCCAAGCTAGATTTATGATCAGGCTACCACCAGATTTGTATGGAGGAGAAAGACATTATTAAGATAGCTTTCAGAACAATAGAGGGTCACTATGAATTTCTAGTGATGCTTTTTGGGTTAACCAACGCCCCAGCCACTTTTCAGGCATTCATGAACAAGATTTACAAGCCATACCTTAGGAAGTTCATCTTAGTGTTCTTTGATGATGTGTTGGTATAAAGTAGATCGTTGGAGGAACATGTTGAGCATCTACGAGTGGTTCTCAGGTTTTTTACAGAACAACAACTATTGGCAAACAAGAAGAAGTGCTCTTTTGGGTTACAACAAGTGGAATACCTGGGATATATTATATCACGAGACGGGGTAGCTATGGACTCATCCAAAACGATGGCAATAAAAGAATGGCCTACAACTAAGACAGTGAAACAGCTCAGAGGGTTCTTGGGACTGACAGGATACTACAGGAAATACGTTCACGGATATGGTTCGATTGCTAGACCTTTAACAGAGCTCTTGAAGAAAGACAGTTTTCAGTGGTCTGTCACAGCACAGGAAGCGTTTCTTACACTGAAACAAGCGATGGTTACAGCACCAGTGTTAGCCTTTCCCGACTTCGATAAACAGTTTGTCATTGAATCATATGCATCAGGGTTTGGTGTAGGAGCAGTGTTGATGCAAGATAAGAGGCCGATTGCATTTTTTAGTCATGGATTAACACCTCGAGCACAGCTGAAACCGGCATATGAGAGAGAACTGATGGCAATTGTAATGGCGGTATTTAAATGGAAACATTACATACTTGGACGTAAGTTTGTGGTACACACGGGTCAGAGAAGCCTCAAATACCTCTTAGAACGGAAAGAGGTAAACATGGAGTATCAGAGATGGCTAACACGGTTGTTGGGATTCAATTTTGAGATTGTATACAAACCGGGTAAAGAGAATCAGGCTGCAGATGGGTTGTCTCGCATTGAATCTCAGAGGATCGGTGAATTTTCTGCGTTGTTGATGGCAATGACAGTTCCATCCGTGATACAGTTACAGGAGTTATACAAAGAGATTACAGAGTCTACAGAACTACAGCAACTGATACAGCGAATTGAGAAATGCCAAGTTGAGAACCCACATTAGACAGTGATTAACGGACAACTATGGTACAAAAAACGTCTAGTGATACTAAAATCATCGACTTTTATACCACTGATGTTACACGAATGTCACGATGGACAAGCAGGAGGACATTCAGGCATGTTGAAAACCGTTAAGCATATTCAGAGGATGTTTTATTGAAAGGGACTGTACAAGAGGGTCCAACGTTACATTGCTGAATGTGTGATTTGTCAGACTCACAAATACTTGACTCTATCACCAGCTGAATTGTTGTAACCGTTACCTATTCCAGAGCGCGTGTGGGACGACATATCAATGGACTTTGTAGAGGGATTACCAAGCTCTCACGGGGTCAACGTGGTGATGGTTGTAGTTGACAAATTTAGCAAATATGGCCATTTCATCGCATTGAACCACCTATTTACTGCAGTAGATGTGGCCTCCAAATTTATGCAAGAGATAGTTCGCTTACATTGTTTTCCCAAATCCATTGTCTCAGACCGCGATCGTATCTTCCTCAGCAGTTTCTGGAAAGATCTGTTTCGATTAGCAGGCACTAAGTTGAAGTATAGCACTGCGTTTCATCCGCAAACAGACGGTCAAACAGAGGTCTTGAACAGATGTCTGGAGACATACATGCGTTGTTATGCATATACGCATCCTTGAACATGGTTTAAATACCTGGCTTGGGCAGAGCTGTGGTACAATACATCGTTCCACTCGGCGCTGAAAACAACACCATTTCAGGTGGTTTATGGTAGAGAACCCTCCATCCATTGTGCATTTTGAAGATGGTTCCACGAAAAATTTTGAGTTAGAGGAGTCGTTGCGTGAGCGTGATGTGATGTTGACACATATCAAAGCTCACCTGTTGAATGCTCAGATGTTGATGAAGAATCAGGCTGAAAAACATCGCAGGGAGCTGGAGTTTGACGTGGGAACATTTGTATACCTAAAGCTTAGATCCTACAGACAATAGACAGTGGTAAAGCGCTTCTGTCAGAAGTTGACAGCAAAATATTTCGGGCCGTATGAAATTTTGGAGAGGGTGGAGAAGGTGGCATATCGTTTAAGACTCCCCCAGGATGCACGAATACATCCGGTGTTTCACGTTTCGCAGCTTAAGGCAGCATTAGGCAACATTCAGGTGGTTCAAACTCTGCCACCAGCAACATCTGATTGTGAGAATGTGATGTTAATTCCGGAAGATATTTTAGGCTCTCGTTATGATGTTAAAGGTAGATTAGAGTATTTGGTGCAGTGGCAAGGCTTGCTAAATCACGAAACCTCTTGGGTGCCATATCGTGACTTTATTCACCAATTTTCTTTTTACAAGCTTGAGAGCAAGCTTGGTCTCGACGAAGGGAGTATTGATACATTGAATAAGACATATTACAGAAAGAAGAAGAAGAATATGCTTAATGTGACGGAATGATCGAAGCTGAGGTGGCAGCTGAGCTGGCAAGCCGTTATTGGAGTTTTTTAGCTAGACAATTATGTATAAAAGAAATGTTATCGAGTTTGTTACATTTTATCGAATTACAGAATTGTAAACCAAAAATCGTTGAGCTGAAGTACAAGTGTGAGGAACTCGTGAGCAGATCGATATGAGATCTTTCTGTAACTCACTCGTGATTCTTTAATACATGAATTTTCCTTTCAATCTCTTCTTTTCCATAAGCAAAGCCTATTAAACTACCATTATTTTGTCGAAAAGATGGCGTTCTAATTGGACGATGGTGCCAAAACTCGACTACTTGGAAGAGATCAACATAATTCTTGCAAATGATTTAGACTGGTTGGATCCACTAATGTGTTTGCTTGAAAATTCTCCTAATCTAAAAGTTGTATTCGTCGACCAGGTTTGTACAACTTGCTCATGCATATTTGATAGATTATATGTATAAGACTAGAAGTAAATATGTTCATTACATGTTTGCTTCACAGACATTTATTGGACTTGAGGAGGATTTGGCATTTTCGTGGAACCAACCGAGTTCTGTTCCGGTATATTTTGTCAGCACACCTCGAGATCTTTGAGTGGAAAGGATACAGAGGAAGAAGCAAAGATAAAGAACTGTTAACATACATTCTTGCCAACTCCATGTGTTTAAAGCGAGCTGGAATCTCTATGACCCGTAGTAGAGATCGAAACAAGATGATGAAAGAGTTAGAATCAACATCATCACAGCTTCTCTTCTCCACTCAACTTGAATATCTGAACGTTCAAAATGAAATGACTGACTAATCATCTAATGTCATTGATCATATATCGTGCCATTAGTCAATAAAATCGATGAATTATTGTCCATTGTCATTAGTCAATAAGATTGAGATGATCAAACAATCATTAATCGTTTTCATTTTATTACGCTAATTATTATGTAACTAAGAAAGCGTTTCTCTTCAAATAACCATCAAAGTTCGAAGAAGTTGTTCGTTTATCCTCCGTCTAAGGATCAATCTGTTAACACTTGAGTACCGTTAACTAGCGGTTGCTGTTCCGAGTAACCGATACTACTCTCATCACTCAGAATGCTATAGTCAAAATCATCAAACTCAAACTCATCATCATCATCATCATCTTCGTCTTCTTCCTCGGACTCTGTTTCTTCTTCTTGACTCACTAAATTAGACCCATCTTTTCTTCTTTCAATTGTCTGCTTAATGGCATCATCGTAAGACATGTCATACCACACATTGCCTTTCCCAACAATGGATTTGTTATGTGCATCCTTCATTCTCTCTTGCTTGCTAATCTCTGAGTTCTTTGGCTCTCCCCAGTAGTCATACTGATACAATGCGCTCGTTGGATCGTATTGGTCTTTCCCAAAGAAGCTTCCTGGCTTATACCTACCTGGTTCCTCCAATGGTAAACCAAGTGCTTGACGTCTGCAACATAAATCTTAAACATCAACACCCTTCTCGAACAACATCAACATAAACCTCTCATGTTTTTTATAACTTACGAGCTGATATCTCTAAGCAATGCTTCTCTTTCCTCCAAAGATCGGCGCCAGTGTAAGGAATCATACTCGTCCATCTCTATGTTCCTTCTTAGCTTGTCGATTTTGTACCCTTCTCCTCTTGCTTTAGCTTCCATCATTAGCTTATTGTGGTACTGCAGAACACAATAGGAGAGGTTTAACCACTGTCAGTAAAAAGATTCATACAACAATGTGAAGCTCGCGGCTGCATTACTTAGAGCTTAAGCAAAGTAGCTAAGTTAGTTAACCTTGCGCTCCGTCAAGGCAGCCTCTAAGTCAAGTTCCTTGACACTGGTTTTCTGTGAAAAAGGAAGAAACCATTTAATCAGATAACAGAGACAAATATGGCTTCACCAACACACCAGTAGAGAGCTCTCACCAGAGTCACTTTTGGCAATTTGGATTTCTTGTAATAAGCTTCGCCATACTCAATATCCTTTCGTTCATCAAAATCTTCGTCGTCAGATAACTCTGATAGTTTTTTGCCTTTGTATTTTTCAGGGTTGGCTTCGTAATCATCCAAAATCATTTGCTCGGCTACATGCAACTGCCACAACTGCAAACGGGAAAGGAATGTGTTGAAATTGTCACACAAATTACAAAACCAATATCTTATTTTCATAAAGCAATAACCATCATTGTTTTTAAAAAAAGATACCTTGTCGACATACGGGTGATCAGAGAGTAGCCCTTCCTCCTCTGGCTTTGATCCTGGGTCTTTTCTAGGCTCAGGAGGTCTTCCACAATCTCGCTGCATAAACAATGTATTAAGATAAAGTGCGAGACTTTCAAGAGAACAAGACATGAATGACATTTGAAGAAAGGATTATACTAACCCGTATCTCATCTGGATTAGTATCCCCATCGCGATGGAATATTGGTGGAAAGTCAAATTTATTAAATCTGAAGCAAGATTAGAAAGCAAAACAGTCAGGACAGAACCAAAGTCAATTTTGAGTTACTGGATAATGTATAGGAAAATAAAGACGCGTGAACTGCATACATCATGTGATCTATATTAGGATGGACGAAGCGCAACTCTAAGGGAAAACGAAACCGGTATGGATCTCTTTTCGCCTGGAAAAGAAGAAGAAGAAGAAACATGAGCATGAAAGATTTTCATTCAGCTTTGACCAATGTATAAAAGAGATCTGTCTCAATGAGTACCGTGATCTCAACGATAACATGCATCCCAACTTTTATGAAATGCCGGATCCAAAACCAGTCATTGTCTTTTATAGGAACCCACCTGCAAACCAACACATAAACTAAAAACTTTGATATAAAGCATATGAAAACTTTCTTCATTGACAAGAGACACAACAATTGACCAGATTATACACCAATCACGGCAAGTTTGAACTATATCTACAAAGTAACAGCAGGTAGGTAGATATACCCTTCATGAACACCTCCAATGTCAACAAATGCTCCCTGATACAGATGTAAAGTGGTAACTGTACCTTCACAAATCTGCATAGACATTACGATACTGCTCATATAACCAATCATCTGATTCACCATTAGTTAACAGTAAACAAGGCCTAGGAGTAGGATTCTTACCATCCCTGGATAGTAAAAGGGAAGCTCATACTGCGCAGAAAGATAGAGCAATGTAACTTCAAACATTTTCATTAGAAAATTAATCAAATGATTAAAACCAAGAGCAGTGATTTTTTACCATCCCCTCTTTGTAATCCTTTCCCCTTATCCTTCTACCTGGATAAAAATCTTGATCCAACTGGATAAATAAAAACGTCATCTTTATTAGAATCCATCTCTAAACCATTCATCTAACAATGTCTCATTGTTCAAACCATTGATTTCCTCTGAAACGTTGAGAAAAAAAAACGCACCTTGTAAGATTCTTCCTCTAGCCTATCTTTATTGGCTTCGACCCATTCATTGTATTGTTTCAAGAAAACCTTGAACCTCTCCAAACACATCTTGTCAACAGCAGCATCCTCTCCTACCTTGAGGTCCTTGTCCAAATCCTCCAGCCACACCCTCTCAGCCATTAGCTTATGGGCTTCCCTTATGAACTCCAGCTCCTTCCGATCAACTTCCCAGCCTCTCGGCGGCCAATCCCGCGGCGGAATCTGCCTGAGCACCACCGGCCCAGCCCACGCGGTATCCAGAGGCGGCGGTTTATCTCCTCTCATCTCGAACTGCTTTGCGTACCATTCATCCTCCGTTAGCCCCATCTCCTTGATCTTCTTCTTCCGGTACGACGGTCTCAGCATCTTGAACGCCTCGATCGCCTCCGGTGACTGAAGCGGAACCTCCTCGCCTTCGTTCAGCGATTTGCGCGCGAAATCGGCTTCGGGTGTGAGGATCTCCTCCCAGGGAGCCCATCCACGCTCGATCCAATTACGCCGGCGGGCTTCATCCTCCGTGTCTTTGTCCTTGGGTCCGAATTTCTCGAGGAAGGTCTCGTCGACGGGGAACTCATCGGAGCTGAAGCCGCGGCAAGGCGGCAGGGCGAGGCGGCGAGGTGGAGGCCATTGAAATCCGGGAGAGAGAGATTTGGGTTTGCAGAAATTAGGGTTTGCGGGATTAGTGAAGGAGAAAGTAAGCGTCGTTTGGCAAATCTGCATGATTCGCCTTCCTTCAAGGTTTTGAGGGGTTTTAGAGAGTGAAGAAGTCAGTGTGTGGATAAGCTAACTCATTTGCAGTGAAGAAGAAAATACAATTATGAAATACTTTATTTTGACCCCCCAAGTATGTTAAATTATCAACTTAGCCCATAATTCAAATTTGGGTAAGAGGATAATTTTGTCATTTCGCGTTGCCTGAAACGTCTTATCAGATGAAGCTAAGAAAGGAAAACGCCGAACGCAGAAAATGGAGGGAGTAGGTGTGGTTTGTAAATGGTCTCAGTGTCTCGCTCCGGCGGCGTCGAGGAAGACGACGCCGGCGAGAAATTCGACGAACCGAAGTTCTAATTGCTCGATATCCTCCACGGTTAACTTACGTACTGATCTTGCTGCGTATCGTCCACAGTTCCGTCTTTTCTCTCGCCATTCCATCTCTCGCCGGCGTCTTCCCGCTTCCAACTCCGCAGAATCGGGCATCTTCCTCCCTCACCTCGTCGCTTCTATGGTTCGCTCTCTCTCTCTCTCTCTCTCTCTCTCTCTCTCTCAATTCGAATTGATTGTGTAGCTACTGAAGCAAGAAAGTTTTAGTTTTATCGCTCAAATCAATTGCAATATCTTGAGCTTTCTGTTAAGCGAAAAGTATTCTTTTATTCACTCAACAACACGAATACAAGATTGATACGTGACGGAGACTCTCCGATGACGATCAACCCAAATCAATCACGAGAACAAGCTCTCGATGATTGCCTGATTTCACAGAGATTCTCTCTCCTGTGACCCCTGTTTCCCAATTTCTCGATGAAACCCATAAAATGTATCAGCATCTTTCGACTCTGTTTCTTCTTCTATCACTCGCTTCTTCTTCCTTACGTAGGCCTTAAGTGGCTTAGCACTTTCTCGTTTCGTTGTTTTGGTGATATGTGATGGTGTCAGGAACAAGTTGAGGAGACTTACATTATGGTGAAACCCGATGGCGTACAACGAGGCCTTGTAAGCTCCTTCCCTTCTTGATCTCACTCTTTCCTTGCAAAAGCATCTTTCTTTAAACTGATGCATCATGTTCTCGTAATTAGGTTGGAGAAATCATCTCGAGGTTTGAGAAGAAGGGGTTTAAGTTGATTGCCCTTAAGATGTTCCATTGCCCAAGAGAATTGGCTGAGGTTTGATACTTCCCTAATTCGTTATCACTATTCAGTATTATCAAGCTTGTTGTGGCTTAAGATTGAAGAAATGCTTAGGATTGTGGTGATCTAGGCATTGGAGTTAAACGGTTTCATAGTTTATTGTAGTAAGGATGTGAAGCTTAATCATATTCATGGTTTATATTACCAAGCCTTTCCGTCAAATATTCTCAAGTGGTCTTGCTTCTGCTGTTTCTTTTAAGATCATAAGAAGTGTTTTGGATTTGATTGGGACAACAATTCTATGTCTTTGCAATCTCCAGGAACACTACAAGGATCTTGGTGCCAAGTCATTCTTTCCTAAACTGATTGAGTACATCACTTCAGGTCCAGTTGTGTGTATGGTACGGCTACAAGTTGATTCTTTGTTTATTATTTCCCGCTTTTCAAAACTTGCATCTTGTTAATTGATTGTTTATCTTGCAAAGGCTTGGGAGGGTGTTGGTGTTGTTGCGTCTGCGAGGAAGCTGATTGGAAAAACTGATCCTCTTCAAGCTGAACCCGGTACCATAAGAGGAGATCTTGCTGTTCAGACTGGAAGGTTGGATTCAGTTTAAAATATAAACACTTTCAGATTCTCATAAATAACGAGACGATGTATGTATATATGCTCTTTGCAGGAACATTATCCATGGTAGCGACAGTCCTGAAAACGGAAAGCGTGAGATTGGTGAGTTTTTCTTGTTTCTTCAACCGATTACTCCCTGCTAAATCTAAATCTGTTTTCTTTTTTGTACTGTTGGAAGAATTGGTTTAGAATGTAAATCAAATTAGCAGGATCAATGCACGACTGTCATCAATTGGTTTAGATCTAGTTGATATCCAATCATTTGGTTATAGTTCAAGAGGTTATTGGGGTTTTTGACTTATATATCTGTAAAACTTGACTCTTTCTCGCTTGGTCATCATCACCGTCTTAGCTCATTTCAGTTAGTTCAAATGTAAAGAATGTTGACATTTGCTGACATGTTACTGCGGACTTGGTTATGGCACAGCTCTATGGTTCAAAGAAGGAGAGCTATGCGAGTGGGATTCAGCTTTGGCTTCATGGCTAAGAGAGTGAATCTTTGAAGAAGAAGAAAAAAAAACGTTCAAGATTTCTTCTCTCGAGGGATCCTTTTGTTCCTGAACAGTCACGTTCGTGACTCTTTTGATTACCACTCATGTAATGTAACGAACAAAAAAAACAGATTCATTCGTTTCTGTTATGAAGTCGGTTGAAGAAAATAAAGAAGATAATTTTTTGCCAACAAGAGATATACTTGCATGAATTGCACGATGAAGAAAATTACAGATTTTCTCTGGACACCTTACAAACAGACTTGTCTAAATTAATTTGTGTACATTAACAACATATATAAACTCAAGCATAGCCAATCATAGGTCTTATTGGTATTGAAATGTGAAATCTTTGGGGCACTCATAACATGACGATCAAATTCGGTAGCATTCACTTGGGGCACGAAGAATTTATTGTTGCTGTTGTATCCACAGTGTGAGACAAGTTTCGTGCTTGAGCTTGATTCTTGTACTTGCAGAACATGGATAGTACTGATGGATTCTTGTTACTTCCCTGTTTTGAGATTTCGCTTTGGACAAGACCCGAGTCTATAGCCATTGCATCGGATCCATTACACAGAGTCACACCATGAGCTTCTCCTTGTGTATCCGAACAGACTGAAGATAAGACATTAGCAGAGTTTGGTGATGATGACGGATTCTCACCTTCTGTGTCTGGACATGGACAAACAGTATCCAGTCTTGAGCCTTGCTTAAGCTTGAGCAGTGTTGACTCTACAATGGCATCATCGAAAAAGAAACCAAGATGAATCAACAAAGCTCGTAAGGTAGAGATTTCAAAAATCTAAAGTCCATTTGAATTCGAATCTACCTTACAATGAAATTAGCTATAGATTTCTTATCACTCCATCTCTCAAGACCTCTAAACCTACGAATTATCTTGCTTTGGTTTTAATTTGGGCGCATTTCATTTTCCAGGATCTTGAAATCGGAGATTGACTTGGTGTTACAACAGGTCACTCAAAACAAGTGTTCGGAATCTGAAACTGGAAGGAGTGTGTGAAAGTACCGTAGACGGAGAGAGGGTCGTCTTTGATGATCTTCGCCGGATTTCTCTCCAAACAGTCGGCCGGCGATGGCGGCGGTCTCAGCCTCCCAAACATCTCTCTCTCTCGCTCTCTCAATTCGATTCGCTGCGTTGTTCCGCCTGGAGTGAAATTGGAACTGAAATCTAAAATACGACAGCAAAATAGATGTTGTAAGTAAGACAAATATTGGATGTTTGTTTTGGCGCCTCTATCGACAAGAAAGATCGGGAATTTCCCGGCGCAATCTTCTCGGCGAAGATGATTCCAGGTATAACTGGGTCGGGCCGGGTCAGCTCGGATAAGTTTCCTTCAGGGCCCTCGCCTAAACATTGGTCCAATTTCAGACAATCATACTGGGCCCCTCGGTTTGCACTAAGTCTGAGGGTGTTCTTATTTTGGTCAACTTTTTTTTCGTCAACAAGTCAAAAGCATTGCGTTTGTGTGTAGTTTTGATTTGAAATTTTATGTAGTACTAGGAATTTATCGACAGCGCTGCCGAATATTTTTCTAGATTTGTATATATTTTAATATAATAATATATTATTTATATATTTTAAATGAGTATTATATTTATTTTTATTAGTTTAAGTTACGTATTTATATGTTTTAAATCTGAATAAACATTATATATCATTAATTTTTTTATTTTTTTAAATTATAATATACTATCAAATTTGTTTAGCTAACTAATATGGAAGAATAAAACAATATATTTTTAAGTACCTTCAAGCTAATGGTAAATATAATTTATTTTCTCTACTAAATTGCTACTTGATCCTCTTTTGAAATTATATAAAACAAATTACCATTTAAAAAATAGAAAGTTCTATTTGAAATGTTGAAATATCAATTTAGTTAAAATTAAATAATTCAATTTTGGTTACTATAAACATATTATAACTTGAAAATTTAGCACAGAAAAATTTTATCTTTTTACAAAAACCGAAAAATTGCATTTTCCGACAAAACAAAAAAAAAATTATTTCCCACGAAACTGAGAAATCGCTTATTCCAACCAAAACAAAAAAAAAATCATTTTCTCGTCAAACCTAAAATTTCATTTTTCTACCAAAATAAAGAAATTGCATTTTTCCTCAAAAACCAAAAAATCACATTTTTCCGCGAGAACCTGTGTTTTTCCGTCAAAACGGAGAAATCAAGTTTTTTCACCAAAACCAAAAATATCGTGTTTCTGCAAAAAAAAAAAAAGTATTTTTCCGTCAAAACAAAAAAAAATTTTTGCAAAAATCGAGAAATCGTCTATTTCCCACCAAAACAAGAAAAAAATATTTTTCTCATCAAATCAAGAATCACGCCTTCCTACCAAAACAGATAAACTACAATTTTCCGCGAAAACCAAAAATTGCATTATCTCCTGAGAAATTGCGTCTTCCACGAAAAATAAGAAATCATATTTTCTCTCGAAAACCAAAAATCAAATTATATGTCAAAAACTAAAAATTTGCATTTCCTATCAAAACCAAGAAATTATTTATTCCCGCCAAAATCGAGAAACTTTGCTTTTCTATCAACCCGAAAAATTACATTTTCTGCCAAAATTCTCTAATTACAATTTTCTGCAAAAATCAAGAAATCACATTATCCATCAAAAGTCGAAAAATTGCATTTTCTATCAAAACCGAGAAATCGTATTTTTCGTCAAAATTGAAAAGTTGCATTTCCCTCGCATTTTGTCGTCAAAATCAAATTTTTTATTTCTCACCAAAACCAAAAATTCATATTTTTCCATCAAGCCCGAGAATTCGTTTTTTCCCGCCATAACCGAGAAATTATGTTTTCCTACCAAAACTGAAAATCACATTTTTCTACCAAAACCAAGAAATTCTATATTTCCGCCAAACCCAAGAAAATTTGTTCTCGGTAATCAGTGGAAATGCAAATCTCCAAGCTGTGGTGGTCTGAGTTTCTCTTCATTTGCTTTTGCCTTCCATTTTTTTTTGTAAACTTTGGACTTTTTAATGGGTCAGCAAAATAGTAAATTGATTTTGTTAGTGTGTTAATAATATGTATTATTATTATGTTTTTATTGGTTCAAATTTTTGCTGATGTGTGAGCTTCTTATAACATAACGCTTTTTGCATTGTTGTTATGGAAGCATAGCTGATGATGAGTCTACACTTTCTTCAATCATATACGTCTCTATCAAGCAAACACATAGTTAGAAATTTTAATTTTTTTTTTGCTGTTATTTATTATTTGAGTTTTGGTTTGGCAAAAATATAAAACAAAGATTTAATTTTATTATTTGTTGTTATTTATTATTTGGGTTTGGCAAAAAAATAAAACAATTTTTTTTTGCTGTTATTTATTATTTGGGATTGGTCTTGACAAAAAAATAAAACTAAAATTAACAATAAAAAATATTTGGGTTTTTAATGGGTTTAAATTTAAAAGTTAAAATAAATTGATGATTTGTATTAATGAAATATTTTATTGGTGTTTTTTTTTGCTGAAGTGTCATCTCCTAAAAGCTTGAAAATGCTGATGTGTCAAGTCATTGAGAGACTTATGGATTATTGTTGTGTTGATTTATAATTTTTTTTGTAAAATATATTGATTTCAGAATTTTGAAATGCAGGTTTCAAAAAATGTTTTTAAATTGTTAGGTTATTTTTTGTGATTTTAAGCAATTCAATGTAAAATCAAATCTTCATGTAATTTTTTTTTATGATATCAATATTTAATAACAACTTGATTTTAATTATAATTTTAAAATTATGAAAATTAAAAAGATCTTGCAGAGATAACCCATGTTGATCAATTTAATATATAAAACTAACGTCCAACAAAAATTATAATACAAATTGACAAAATAATCACATAATATTTTTTAAAAACCTATGTAAATATACAATCTTGCATAAACAAAATTGTAAGTTTATATAGATAGTTAAATTTTTCTAGCAATAGTAACAATATGTTTTTTTTATAAAAAATAGTAACAATATGTTAGATGAAAATTAACATAAACATACAGACTGTGACTGGTAAATTTTGCAGAATGATGGAATAGTGAAAAAACACAAAACGCAAAAAATTTGTAGATTAAATTTTTTTACGGAAAACGCAATAATGCAAGGTCCGCGGAATTGAATTTTTGCTTATAAAAAATACAAAGAAATCTTCATTAAATAGAAAAGTGTGTTTTATTAAATTATTTACAGAATCATTTTTTTATTTAAATAAATACAAATTAATAATCTGGTGCTACAAAAAATTATTTAATGATAAAATTATGTCTATTATTTAATTTTTGCAAATTTTTTTTTAAAAATTACATATTTTTGTTTTGAAAAATAAATTAATATTTTAATTTTTATGATATATAAAAAAATTAAATAATCATATTCCGTAATTTTGCCATTTTACATAATTTATCTTTTTTTAGTGCACTTCTACATAATTTATCTAACCGTATTAGAATAATATATTTTGCGATTCTGCAGTAAGTCATTCCATAATTATAATGTGTTACCTATTAGAGCGGCTCTAATAGAGCCATAATAAATATAGAAACAGAAGGCTAAATTCTATTTAAAGATTAGTGACTCCATAAGAAAAATTTTAAATCTTAAACCATCATCAAAACCCTAAAAATTTTAAACACTTAATGAACGTTGTATTTTTTAGGTAAAAATTGGTGAATCGGCCAAAATAATTAGTATACAATATATATAACATTTAAAATTTATTAGTTACCATTAAAAGCATATATCATTGGAGACTAACTACAAGAGAAATAAAGAATAACAAAATTAGTATATCTAAATAGAATAATGTAATTATTACAACTATACAAAACAGAAAACGAAAAGAATTTGATTTTTAAATGGGAAATAATGAACCCAAGTAAACCTCCTTGATGTCCATAACCTTTAAAAAATCTGTACAAACTTTTTGAACATTTTTTAAGATTTTAAAAACTTAAATAGGTTTATATAAATTTTAATGTGTCCACCTTGTGAAAATAGTCTCCATTTTTTTAATAAAATTTTCAAAAATCTAAACCTTAAATAATTTCTGTCAGTTCATTAACCTAAAAAAAGTTGCAAAATCTTTTTTAACCTTTAGATTTTTTATTATTATTGTCGTAGTCGTTTGCTGCAGTGACTAACAAACGAATATGACTATATTAAGACAAAACAAAAGTATTTATGTTTTCAAAAAATAACATAATATTTTTATGAAAAAAATAAAATTAAATGGTCATAATTTTGCTTGGATTATCCATAAACTAATAACCTCTATATAATTTTAACTTTTATTAATGTATTTGTTTTAAATTTAGTGAAATAATTAAATTTATTAAAACTAATACTCCATTAATATATGATTTGATAAAATGTCTTAGTGTTTTCTATTATGAACTTTCTTTTAGCATTATCGAAGATATATATAATATGAAATGCAACACACAAAGTTAGATATGAAAGAAAAAAAAATTTGATGGAGAGAAAACATTTATGTACACAATTTAAAAAGGGTGCAATACTCTTGAAAGCGACTTCAAGTCATCTTGACCGTTGAATCGTTGACGTAGCGAAGTAAACCAACGGCCAACAGAAGCCCTTTTCGTATTCGGTCAGGTATACATTATGGGAACCAAAAAAAAGTTCGACTGAGAAGAAGGAAAGAAAGGATTAGAGAAGATAAGAAGAGATACAATGAGCTGTTTTAGATTTCAATAGAAGAGAAGGGAAGAAGAAACACATTAGGCTGTTGCAGATTTCAATGTCAAGGAGACGAAGTAATCGTGTTCGAAATGCTAAACCCGTCACTGCTCCTGCACCTGTCACTGTCACTGTCACGATCATCGAGGGTGATTCTCAATTCTATTCTCTTTTTTTTATGGGTTTTTTTTTTCTCTTTTAAATAATGATTTTTGATTTCTTGGTAGTGACAATTTTGGGGAATTAGGGTTTTGGGAACTCGATTATATCTTACAAAGTCGGTGTTTTTTTTAATACCTTTTCTGGGATTTTCGTAGTGATGCTTACTCTGGTGTATCATTGAAACTTCTTGGTAGTAATCATGTTTTAGATTACTGTTTTGGAATAGCTGCAGCGTAATTGGCTCGACTCATGATGATTATTTTGGCTTCGAAAAATGATTTCTTGAGGATTTGAATGTGAGTCTGGATGATTGTTTTGGTGAATCGTTGTATCAATCTTGCTAGAAACTTTTCAAGCATTGGCTTAATTTTTTGAAATTTCTGGTTTTTGTGTGGATTACAATGAAATAGTCCTTGATGAAGTCTTGAGACTTAGCTATGGATTATTGTTTGAGGATCTAAATGTGTGTCTGGATGGTTAGTTTGGTGAATTGTTGTATCAATTACGCTAGAAACTTTTCAGGCATTGGCTTAATTTGTTGAAATTTTGGGAATTATGTGGATTACAATGAACCTATGGTCCTTGAAGCCTTGATACTTACTTAAGATTTTGGAGATTTTGGGTTTCAATTTGTATCTATCTGGTTCTGGAAGAGGCTACTCTCAAGGTTTTGACTATCATCATGTCTATAAACTTCATTTATTTTTTTCCCTTTTTGTTACAGATTGTGAAGAAGATGAATTCAAAAGCCACAGGTCGTGTTGGAAGCATATTGCTGCTTTGAAGAAACGCGATCAAAAACAGAATCCAACCGAGAAGGAGTTTAAGACATTCAAATGGATTGCACCTTGTTTCTTTGAGGAGTGTCCACGCCGTGATAGGTCTCCAAGAAGGATCAAGTGCAAGCATTTGAACTTGCTCAGGAAAAAACTGTGTTCCAGTTCATTCATACGCTACATAGAGTAAGCAATATCTCTTTTTATAATCTAATAAAGAAGGGATCTTGTGCTTGTTTGCAGTTCTATTTATGGCTTTCCTTAATTGGTGTACTTTTTGACTAATGTGAATAGGGAATTATGGAGGGGGGTCTCTGATGAGAAGAAGACTTCTTTTGTGTACGTAGATTGTCTATGGTTTGGTATGTACAAAAGCGACAGCCCCAGAATTAGAAGCAGTGTTTTCGAATCCATAAAGACAAAGCAGATCTTCTCCAAGAAATATGTGTTTCTTCCTATCGTCTACTGGTAAGTTGGTTTGACCATATATATATATATATAGATGTTCTTGAAACGGTTTCAGAACGCAACTATGTAAGTCTCTTTTTTTTTTTTTTTTTGAAATTCCTTAGGAGCCATTGGACTTTGTTGATCTTTTGCAATTTTGGGGAGGATCTCTGTGAAGATAAAACATGCATGCTGTTTCTTGATTCACTGGGATCAACTGATTCTTGGAAGCAGCTTGAACCGGATATAAGGAGGCGAGTACTCTCTCTCTTTTTGTTTTCCATCTTGACCGAAGTATTTTTATTGTAGGAGCTAGTGGCAATATTATGTTTGTGCTTCTTCTTGTCTTTACAGGTTTGTGTTGGAGCTATTCAGAATCGAGGGCAGGACTGAGGAACAGTCATTGATTGATGAGATCCCGCTCTATGTTCCAGATGTAATGAATGCATCCACACGAGTTAAATCTGATTTTCTTGATGGTTATATCTCAGAATTGGATTGACTTGTCTTAGGTTTCAGGTTCCCCAGCAGACAAATGATATGGAATGTGGAAGCTTTGTGCTCTACTACATTCAGAGGTTCATTGAAGACGCCCCTAAGAACTTCATCGTCGATGCTTACCCATATTTCGTAAGTTAATCAACTCAAAAAACAGTTTATCGTTGTTAGCTGTATAAAGCGGGTTTTGTGTTTGGGAGATCTTAAAATGTTTGCTCGGTTTCACTTAACATTTGCAGATGGAGGAGGCCTGGTTTAGCCATGAGGACCTGGATGAGTTCTGCGACAAGCTTAATTCTTTGGGAACCATTCGTTGACCAAAGTTTTTAACTCTTAAAGGGTAAAGAGATTCTGAAGAAGGTTACCAGTTGTGGTATGAGATCTCTTACTTCATCAGTAGGATTCTAATTGTGGATTTTGATGGGATCTCAATTAAGTACATTCCATTTTTAATTATTCTGTCTGTTAGATTTTTTAATTATGCTTAGAAAGATATTCAAGCAAGATTTCAAATTGATTATACAAGAAATTCTGAATCTTTGGAAGAAAAGCATTTCTGTTTTTTTTTTTTTTTTTTTATCATTCTGAAATGGGTCGCATCTGTCATTTTAAATTGTTAATCAAAGTGGTTTAACACACACACCTGATATAGAGATATTCACTTTCATGTTTGGCTAAGTAATCAAGAACAAGATTGTTTTTTCAAAGCTTAAAACTTGTAATATGTTATCCAAAATCGTATTAATACACAATACATTCTTTAGTTAAAGAAATGTTGCTATTTGCTATACATGAACGATTATAGCCAAACTAACGGGAGTGAGGTTTCTACTAGAGATGAACATTTGGAGAAGGAAGTTGGATTGAGGTCAGCTTAGAGATAGCAGAAGGTAGACTTATGTTCATGGGTCCAACGCTGCTGCTACTCCCACCAGTTGATTCTAAAGCTCGGGAAGTTTGGAGAGCCATCTCGGCGTGGAGTTGGAGACATGACAAAGCCATCTAACACAAGACACAACACATGAACCAGATCGTAACACTGTTCAGTTCATGTTTAAGCTAATCAAAGACTCTCTTTTTCCTTTAGCTATAACAAAAGAATGTATGACTTACTGTGTAGCAGTCTCGGTCGATGTCTGAGTCAGCTATTTGAAGAGCCCATGTTCTGATCCATTCAAGAGCTCTGGCAAGTTCAAGACTTCCTTCAACTAAGGCTGAGACTATGTACGATGGGTGAAGAGCAACCAAAACAGAAGACGCTGCAAAAAGAACCGCCCTTCGGACGTAGGCCTCTGCGTGATTGCATACTTCCCTGTATTGAGTTTGTCAAGCATATGATATAAGTATTATGTATGGGTGCAAAAGTCTGGATAAAAGATCTATGAGATAGAAAAAAGGTGATGACGTACCTTCGTTGTAACATATCTAGAAGAGAGATAGCTAACGCAGATGCTTCTGGATGCATTGATGCACACTGCATACAAACGCCGAGCATGTGAACAAGCTTTCCAAGGACAATAAAGTCCCTGCCAAGTAAGTCAACACCATGTCGTCTCTTGTCAAACTCTTTCATGGCTGGAAGCATAAACGCTGCTGCATATAGTGGAAACCTATTCTGGGACCAGTCAGTACTGTTTTGATCTCTATCACGTGATCTGAGGCTCCATCTTCGAGTTTTTCCTTTCTTCGTCTGTCCAGGCTTTGGCTGTAGCTCCCTCTCGAATCGGTTTGCCCAATTAAGATGAAAAGATCCTGTCTCTGAGACCTTTTTCCATGGGGTACTCGCACTGCTAGGCAAATACCAGGGTTGAGGATCTGATATATCTGATATCAGCGGTCCATGTGCTGCATGTTTAGGTTTTAAGGTCCTGGAACTAGCAAGCTCTCGAGCTGCTTCAGCCATGACATCAAGTATCATTATGCGCTGGCTTACGTCTACGTTAGGCGAATACAAAACACTGTTCAGAGTTTCGAGGGATTCAAATGGACGGGTCACGAGCAACGCGATTAGAGCTCTTTGCCGCTTCTCTTCTGCTGAATCTTCTTCACCTTCAATTGTTATATTCGAGCAGCGAACCTGTACAAGAATCCGAGCAAGATCACCAGCTATATGAGTCAGCTCATCAGGTGAGGCTCGCACAAGTTTCTCTGCAACATTTATCGCTTTTTCCACCTGCAAGACGTAGTTTCCATTAAACATTAGCACTTTGTGTTGCTTATTGATGAAAGAAAATGCTGAAGTTTTAACGTCACAGAAAGTTATCTCTAGTTACGTACCCCATCAGCATCATCAGATTTCCGAAGAGCTCCAACAACATCCACCAAATGTGTAAATTGTTTCCCTAAATCCTTGTCATCATCTATTAAATCATATGGCTCCAAAGAAGTAACACTTGAGTTATCAGAGCTGAGACTTGCGTTATCATCAACATCGTCTCCGTCACTCTCTGTTTCACAGTTTAAGGTTGCCAAATCAACAATTTCATCTGGATCAGCCAAAACAAAATGAGATATCTCCTTGCTCTTGCGACTTTTCTTTTCCTTGTTTCTGCCATTAGAGTCATTTACTTCAGTCAAGGAGGCTGATGTTTTCGTTTCACCGTCTTCGTTTCCCATTGAACTTGTGATTGCCCGGACCCTTCCCTCAGCCGTTTGCAATTCAAATTCCCAGTCAATTGCATCCCCAGTGAATGAATCATCAAGGTACAGAGGATTCTTCGGGTCAATCACTCTAGAGAAGACGAAGGCAATAGAGCTAGCCATTTTCCTTACAAGATCTCCTGGGTTCTCCAGTCTACCTGTTGGCAATAATAAGCACAAGAAATAAGACCACAGAAGCGTTTAAGTTCTTTACTTAAGATACTAAGAGAGATGAATTTATACAGCTAACTCCTCGAAGAATATTGTGCATTACATCCTTCGTTCTATCTAGTTCCTCTTTTGACATGTTCTCCAGGCAAAGCCCAAGAGCTGTAGTTATATCTGCAGCATATATATTACGGGAAACAGTAGGCGAAAGACTTACGCAGCAGCATGAAGATTAAAACATATGCTTCACCATCTAAACACTGATTAACCAAAACGCCTATTAAAACCTACAAATATGTGTGACTAATTCAGCGGAATAAATCAAGGTTTAATAGCCAAGAAAAGGATACAAGTTTGCTGCTCCAATGGGACGGACCGCAGAAAATCCTCTTTCGACCAAACCGATGCTAGTCGCTGCGTTGTTTCAAGCAGTTCATGCGTGATGTCACCTTTAGCAAGTGTATTTGTAACCGGTGGGCACTCAAGAACCGAAAACTGTAAGATCCATCGCAGACAACGGATAGAAAACACTTTCCACAGCAAAAATTTGTCAACAAATATGGACCTGAAAAATTACGTCTACAAAATTATACCTAAACAAACATGAGCTCCAAAGAAATTTTTGCACCTAAACAAAGAATCAAGCTACAACAGAAATTTTTGCTTGCCTCAGTGATGCCTGGTGTTTTACATTGCGATGAAACAAAGTCCATATAGTCCAGAAAGCTTCAACATCACTAGCATGCTTAGCATATAGCTGATGTAAAAGTTGTTCAGCCATTTTCTCAACAGCATACGGGTCTGTCACCGCTTCCATAGTTTTCGACCAAATCCGAGGTGTAGGGTCCAACTGAAATGCTTCTATCTCAAATAAACCCTCCTTTGAGTTTAGTAACCTCCGAACATGAGCTAGGACATGAGGTGTTACTTCACTTAACAGCAAATCTACAGATTACAAACATTATCTGAAGTACATCAATCAAAAACACATCGCCACGCCATCCAGAGCTTATCAGTCAATAATAGAGTACCACCAATACTAAGAAAAAGCAGTATCCTTTCTCCTGTCTTTAGTGAGGTTCAGAACTACGTACAACCAACTCAAATAGAACTAATTTTTTTTGGACAGAGAAGTGAAATGCTCGGAGCATACCTGATAATCCGCGTCGACAGATGCGGGAAAAAATTTCTCCGACAAATGACAAAATGATAGCTGTGCTATTGGCCTCAGTGCAGGAAGCTTTGTCGTCCAATATTTGTAGGAGCTGATTGGTAATGTGCTTGAAGTACAAGCTATAGGACTCAAGTTAAAGAGCACTGATCCTCACAGCATTTGATATGTAACATAATAAGGTATCTAATTACTTAACGGAGGCTAAAATGCATCACACTGAAGGCGTTAGAGCCTGTGTGCATAGAGAAAAGGATACTGAGAAGAAAGTAAAGGCGGGGCTTTTAACCGTGCTTTATCAGGAATGCAGGTCAGGATCTGTGATAGCCTGGATAGCAAAGGCTTGAGACTTCCACTACTAGAATTCTCTCCTCCATAGCAATCACCAATTTCTTTAGTTATCTTGAGCACTCCATCATTTTCAAGCAAACACAATATAAGCAACCTGTCATTAAAGCAAAATCACATCACGACAGGCTAAGCATATACTCATACTAGCATCTGCATCAGCTACAGTCTAAATATACTACTGGAGACATAGATTTATACAGAGATATTCAGAACACGCCAATACATGACTCCAATCAAACAAACACAAGAAATCACTGGTCTACATTGACGCAATCAAACACAAGAAAGATACCATTAAGCGTAAAATGTCATGAAGCAGAGAGTTATGCTTACTAGTACACAAACAGAAGCTCAATGGAAAACACGAAAAAAAAAACGAAGAAGAGTGTTTGTGGGCACCTTTCTACATTGGTCTGGACAGAATTGGCATTAACGCCACCATTTTTGTCCACATGATGCAGGAATGGTACCAAGACCTGAACAACCTCGATAACAGGTCCATCTAAGAAGAACAAATCATACAAATGTTTCTGCACTGAGACAGGGAAGCAGGATAGCCAATCCGAGGCAACATCTGAAATTTAAAACAAAAATACGATTTAGTTGGAAGATGAACAAACATAACTTCTTTAAAAAATCAGTATCTAAATAGAACACAGTAGCAAATTAGAAACCATAACTTCCTCAGAGTAAACACAATCAGATAATTTGAGATTGATTAAGTTACCAAGCAGCAAAACGCGAGCAAACGTTGGAAATGAAACCCCGCGGAAGAACGTTTGCGACCAGTCATCTCTCTCATCTGCAGAAGGAACAACGGTGCTACAGACCTGTGTGGCCACCAAATACAGAGTCATAATTAAGCCATAGAGAACGATGTGCTCACATTCAGATCACACAAAACACCGATATACAAACCCTTTCTCTGTATGTCTCACCAATACTCCCTGCAATATAATGGAAAAATACACAAAAAGTCAATTACTTTCACAACAATGAAACAGCCCACAAACCAAAAGGAGACAATTACAGCAAATCTACTGTTTTTAGTGGAGAATGGACTGAGGTGAAGAGTAACAAGTGACTTTGCTTACCGGAAAAGAACGATGGGTCGACCGGAAAGAGAAAAACGGCGACGGAATGAATAGCGCAGATCACTTCGTCGACGTGCTTCGCATCACCAATAGAAGAGATAGCTTCTCCGACCTTTTCGAGCAATTTTTTCTCAAGTGCTCCCTCGTGCTTAGTCGCTTCAGCCATTGAAGAGAGTCTAAAGAGTTCGAAAACTAGAAAAATTCGTCTGTAAATTTTAAGAAGAACACTAAAACGTTGCCGTTTCAAAGAAAATGTTACCTTTGACTAAACGCTGCCGTTTGAGATTCTATTGAAGATTCTGATAACTTGCATACGCGCAGTCAATTTTTAGACAATCCAACTATACCGTGAAACCTCTCCTCTTTAGGGTTTTTATCCCCAAACTCATCACTAGTCAAGCTTTCGAAAAATGGGTGATGAGATTCAGCCGCCGGCAGATCAATTAGCCGCCGTCTCCTTGGGAAATGACGCAGCCTCGTCTTCTACGGTGCAGAAAGCGCGGTTTGCGGATAGGGTCTGTATTAAGTCGATTTTGGGTCGAAGCGACGGCGGAGCTGGACTTGCCGGGCAGAAGGTACGAATCTTCGGGTGGGTAAAAACGGGAAGGGAGCAAGGGAAAGGGACTTTCGCTTTTCTTGAGGTGAACGATGGATCCTGCCCAGCGAATCTTCAGGTTATGGTGGATGCTTCTGTGTCAGATCTCTCCAAGTTGATTGCTACGGGAACTTGTGTGACCGTTGATGGATGTTTGAAGACTCCTCCGGAAGGTAAAGGTACGAAGCAGAAGATTGAGCTCAGCGTCGAGAAGGTGATTCATGTGGGACCGGTGGATCCGGCTACCTACCCGATTCCTAAGACGAAGCTGACTCTAGAGAGATTGAGGGAGTTTCTTCATCTTCGTCCCAGGACCAACTCGGTAAATACTTCGATTGATTCAAACTTCATCTTCATCTTCGTTTATCTTTACATTACGTCTGCTTAATTGCTATATTTGTTTGCCCTGTGGTTTCAGATCGCAGCAGTTGCAAGAATCCGACATGCGCTTGCTATGGCGACCCATGCATTCTTTGATAAATATGGTTTTCTGTACATTCAGACTCCAATCATCACAACAAGTGACTGCGAAGGTGCTGGTGAAATGTTCCAAGTGACCACTTTGATCAACCAATCTGAAAAGCTTGAGAGGGATCTCATTGCGAACCCTCCTCCCACCGAGGCTGACATTGAAGCTGCCAAGCTCATTGTCAAGGAGAGAGGCGAAGCTGTAGCGCAACTCAAAGCTGCCAAAGCAAGCAAGGAAGAGATCGTTGCTTCCGTTGCTGAACTCAACAATGCCAAGGGGAACTTAGCCAGGACTGAAGAGAGGTCGAAGCTTAAGCCTGGACTGCCTAAGAAAGATGGGAAGATTGATTACTCGGAAGATTTCTTTGGTCGACAAGCTTTCTTGACAGTTTCTGGTCAGCTACAAGTGGAAACGTATGCTTGCGGTCTTAGCAGCGTGTATACGTTTGGTCCCACTTTCAGGGCAGAGAACTCTCACACTTCAAGGCATCTTGCTGAGTTCTGGATGGTTGAGCCTGAGATAGCTTGTGCTGATCTAGAGGTAATAACAAACATTTGTTTTTCTTCTTCTTTAGTCGCAATATAGCTCTGTGGTATCTTAGAAACTGGCTTTTTTTTTTAAATTATGTGTAGGACGATATGAACTGTGCAGAGGCATATGTGAAATTCATGTGCGATTGGTTGCTTGAGAAATGTTACGATGACATGGAACTCATGGCTAAGAATTTCGACAAAGGCTGCATTGACAGGCTAAAGTTGGTTGCCTCGACTCCGTTTGGTCGTCTGACATACACGGAAGCAATAAAGCTGCTTGAGGAAGCTGTGGCTCAAGGAAAGGTATTTGAGAACCCAGTGGAGTGGGGAATCGACTTAGCATCTGAGCATGAAAGGTTTTGCTTCTAATGATCCTTGAAACTATTTTCTCAAGTAAAGAAGACACTTGCAAGAAATCGAATTTTTTTTAGCAAACGTTAACTACCTATCTTGCAATTACAGATACTTGACAGAGGTTATGTTTAAGAAGCCTCTGATTGTGTATAACTACCCGAAAGGAATCAAAGCTTTCTACATGAGACTCAACGATGATGGAAAGACTGTTGCTGCCATGGATGTCCTCGTTCCAAAGGTAATAAAAGCTCCATCATTTTAGATAGCTGAATCCTCTTTTCCCTCTTTTTTTGCGATTCATCGAACAATACACATGAATCGATGTAAAATTAGGTTGGAGAACTCATTGGTGGAAGCCAAAGGGAAGAACGGTTTGACGTCATCATGGAAAGGTTTGTGGACAATTTTGGCTTTTTTTCTTTTTGGTTCTTTCGATATCTCTCATGGAGCAAAGCAAAATCTGGTCTTTGATTTGGTCTTTGATGAACACAGGATTAAGGAGATGGGTCTACCAATTGAGCCATACGAGTGGTACCTTGACTTGCGACGTTATGGAACAGCGAAGCACTCAGGATTTGGACTTGGATTCGAACGTATGGTTCTCTTCGCTACAGGAATTGACAACATCAGAGACGTTATCCCCTTCCCTCGCTATCCTGGAAGAGCTGATCTTTGATTCTTTTTCTTAATACCAAAATTGCAAACACAATTTTATGCTTTTTTTTTATTAGCTGGTCTTGTTTTGAGAACCGATTTCGTTTTAGTTTTACTTTAAAAGTTGGTTAATGAATGAATTGGGCTTCTTTTACTTATATAAAAGATGGTTATGCGAGAATGTGAACTTAGAATTAGACGACAATGCTTTGACCAAAAAAAGAATTATACGACAATGTAAATACGGTATTATACAACAATACGGGACTGTTGATTAGGTTTTAGCTTGTGGGCCGTAATCAGTAGCCCATAATAATGATTAGTTGAAAATGGAAGCGTTAGATATTTTAAGGTATTAAAAAGGATAAACAGAGCATCAGAAGTCGATATGTCCGAGTGGTTAAGGAGGTTGATTCGAAATCAACTGGGTTTACCCCGCGCAGGTTCGAATCCTGCTGTCGACGTTTATTTTTTTATATTATCTTATAATGAAAGAAATTAGGGTCTGGAACACTCCCTTAGATCACGTGCCTTTGAAGATCACTTTCTTTGGAAAGTCCCTTTTAATTAGTACACACTTGCAAAGTGACATACGTTGTGTTAAAAAAAACTTAATTTTTGTATCATACTGTTTCATTTCGAATCAAGATATTTCCTATATGTCAGATTCGTGTGATCGTAATTAAAAGAAACAGTGTCAAAAAAATCCATTACCATTCAATCATATATTGAAATCGGTAAAAAAAGTAACTTTCTATCCTAAACGGTTTAGTTTCTTGTTCAACAAGTAACCAAACTTAGGACGAGTGAATTTCCCTCCGAGGAACAAATCGGCCATAACCTTATACATTCCCTCGGTCAAGTGGACTCCGTCCCAATTGATGTACCGACTCGGGTGCTTACACGCCGTGGCTGTAGCCGACCCACACGTCTGAAACACTTGGAAGTTGTACGGCTCTCCGATCCCACAGCACGCCTTGAACTTCTCGGTGATTCCGTACGTGCTAGGGTTTTTTATCACCTCACGGTACGCGTTCCAGTAGTCTGCGTAGACTATCGTGGCATTCGGATACTTGATCCTGCACTTTTATAGATGTTACTAAACAATGCGGGATACACATTTCGCTTTTTGTATCTATTTTTACCTTAAGTTTCTGATACATTGAAAACTTACCAAAAACAAACAAACAAACACATTGAAGAAAGGAGTAGATATTGATGTATGTAACGAGAGTAACTGACCTAAGTTGTTTAAGTTTGGATTGCAGCGCAAGGTTGTGAGTGTAACTCTGATTATTGACACTCTTGACACACCCTAGGTTATCTCGATCGTCTTCTCCAGCCAGCGTCATTGCTAACGTCAAACATCCTGTTGCCGGATGTCCTTGTACCAACATATGTTTCACACCTTTCTTCAACAATGTCTGCAATTACCATTGCAAAAAAGTTATAATAAACCAAACATAATAAGACCAGTCCATACAAATCCGGTTAGGTTCAAGATCCTTTTCCTACATTGATCCGGTTAAGTTCTAGGCCAGCCTGGTCTATTAAGTTAGCAAACATTGAAAAGATTATTCCGTTTATCTTAATCAAAAACATATTGTTAAGGTCTTTGTTTTAACATAAACGACACACAAATTTTGTTAAGGACTTGGTTCATCTTGTAAATCAAAAGCTGTAAATTCAAGCCAAATCAAAAACTAGAGATCGATTAGATTGCACATCAATTAGGGTGCTGTAAAAAAAACTAAGATACTTCGGTTACCACCATCAAAGTGTCAAATTGTTAACCGAACTTATCCGGTTCTTTAATGTTCCACATTCACGTACTTCTTGCTTTTATCGTTATCTTAAGCATGACTTATTGGTTAGATCACTTTGGTATCATGACTTGCAATAAATGCATATGGAATGTAGTAATGTACTACATCTTGCACATTAAATATAGGGACCAATTGGGTCACTTAACCGAAACAAATATCTAAACCCCAAACCAAATTCTTGTTCTATTTTTTTAAATCGTATAATCAAACAAATAGAAGAGAAAAATCAATAAAACTTGAATCATTTAAAAAAAAAAAATCATCAAACTAATGGATGTCTTGTTATGAAAAAAAAACCAATTCAAGAACCGAAGATGAAAGCAAGCATACCAACTGCATAAATACTAATTATGCAATCAAATTGAATACTAAAATTACCTCCAAAAACCTCGTATAGGTTGCAATACTAAGTTCTCTAATGGTGTCGCTTGACACGTTAGAACCAACGATGTACGCATAGTCGTTAACTCCGATTTCTCCGATCCAAAAGAGAGAATCTTTAAATAAAGAAACCTTCTGATTGGTTCCAAGGGTCTCTAAGTACTTATCGAACCAGCCAAGCTCTGTCTCGATAGAGTGAGGAGTCATATCAAGCATCAGATTATTCTTCACGAAGAAAGCGTGTTTAATCGACGTTGCTCCAGAAACGGCGAAATTAACGCCGTAAGTATCCGTAGCGGTTCCGTTACTACCGTTAGTTGATCTAAGACTGAGATACGGTGGCAGAAACGGTAGATTCATCGACTGTGCCACGAAATCGATGGTGAGACGGCCGTCAGAGTAACGGTTCGTTGGCCGTCGGAAGTAAGTCATGCCGTATGGAAAGCTGGACAAGTGTCCGAATCCAGCGGGACCTTCGCCGGCGCGTGAATTTCCGGTGTCGGTGAAAGAGTCGCCGAAGGCGTAGATTCTATTGAAAGGACGGCGGACGCTGGGAATTGGCGCCGCGGCGGAAATGGTGGAGACGAGAAGGATCGCGCCGGAGACGGCCGTTGCGAGCATAAGAGAGATGGAGGAAAGCATTGTGAAATGAGATATGAAATTGAAGTTCCTTTGGGAATGGTCGTGTACTCGTGTTACCAATATGGCAATATATTATATACTGGTGGGAAAAAAATGTAAAATTAATATATTTTGTGTATTTAATTTAGCGAATTTTAGCAGCTGAGATCCAACTCTTAAAAGAAGAATTAATTTATTGTTGCATGTGAAGAATTATTTCGATGGAAATTTGCCAACTCTACAATTGATGATAAACACACAAAATATATATATATATATATATTTGTATATGCTAAACCCCACAAGTATATGAAAATTGGATGATTAATTTTTGTGTGATAAAAAAATTGTGATGTAAACATGTAGGTACTTCTAAGATGATTGTTCTTTTGAAAATTTGTCTGTTATGTTTATACATGTTAAATTGTCATGTTTATATTCAAAACCCCATAATATTTATCCATCATTTAACTATTATATATAAAATTATAGGGAAAAATGAAGTTGGGTATAATATAATGATAATACTATAGTAGAAACTCTATAAATTAATAATGTTGGGACTTTAATATTTTATTAATTTATAGAATTATTAATTTATTATTTTTGGATAAAATAAATTATTTATTAATAAGTAATTAAAAATAATATTTTCTTTAAAATTTATAATATTTGCCAAAATTTTCATTATAAAATTAGAGATAAATGATAAAAATTTGTTTTAATTTTAATATGAAAACAACAATACACTCATATTTTAATATATTATCAAAATTATATATTTATATAAATTATTTTATATACTATTTATTAATATATGATATTAATAGGACTATATTTTATATAGGTTTTTTAAAAAATTAGTATCTTATTAATTTATTGATTTATATTAAATTTTGAACCGGTTCAACTAAGACCAAGCAAAATTATTAATTTATCGAGTTTATTAATTTATAAAATATATTAATTTACGGAGTTTTTACTGTATTATAAAACTACTCCAAGACTATCTATTATGGTCGAGGAGTATGTACTTAGGTTCGGATCTAGCGTTCAGTCACACAATTTAAATGATTTATATTGTAAAAAAAATTATTTTTGTCGCATACCATAGAATTAATATAGCCCATATGGGCAAAAAAGCATTCGATAATGTATTAGAGAAATGAAAAAAAGAAAACAAGTAAATAGAAAATGAAAGTAGGTGAGGACATATGGAGGTGGTTAATGTAGTTGGACGTGGAGAGAATTTAGTTAGTCATTAAATACTTAGCCACCTCTCATGAATACACACTTGGCAGCTACGCAATCCGGCGATATTAAATTTCCATAGTAACTATGTACACACGACTACATGTTGCCGGAAAACATTGTTATACTTTCACGTAATCTCCATTCTCAAATGGTCGTTGTGTGTTTTAAAGAGAAAGCATCACTTAAGCTTCAACATATAACAACAAACATTTGAAACCGAAGGAAGGAATATCTTATGTGACATGTCGTCTTCCATGCGCACTATAAATCTACATGGTTACATAGAATGGTAGAAATATGAGTGATTTTGAAAAAGGATTGTCAAAAATGTCATTGATCGACGTATATTATATGGTCGGAAAGAAGATATCATCATATCAATCTAGAAAAATTAATACAAGACGTACCACGATGGACATATAATGGTTTGCCGTTAACCAATTCTGGCATATTAATTAACTGACACAGGAATCAAGTAGTGGATAAACTCGCCAAATTGGCTCATCACCAAGATAACATTTCGTCATTTTTTTTTTTTGTTTTTTTTTACTCCTTTTTGTATCAATAACTTTATGTATTACGCTTATATCATGATTGGTTGATAGCTAACTCGTTGATAAACAAAAGCATAGGGAACAAGTTTTATTTTCTCACCATAGTAAAACTTTGCTTATCTTTTGAAAATTCGGCCACCATTACTATGAAATAATTGAAATGTGAATGTGAAACTGAAATTAATGATGCGAACGTAACTTATGGTGATGATGGTAGGTGCCTACTAGGTGGTGTCTCTTAATTGCACTAAAATACAGTACATGGATCCAAATTCGGCTTCTGTGCCATTTTGATTGATCATTAGCACTTTTCATTATTATTTTTTTTTAATTAGTAGTGAGATTTTGTTCCTCGTAACATCCAACTAACTTTTTAAGAAAACTCGTATTGTACACATCTTCTTTCCCAACAAAATTTATATACTAAAACCGAAACTTCAAATCGAATAGTCAATGATTTCCTTTTCATTTTCACATGTTGCTGTATCATGAGTCATGACAAAGATTGTAATACTTTTAAGTAAGACGTTAATTAGTTTCATTTATAACTTGATGTTAATGTTAGTAAATTTAGTATACAGACAACGTACTTAAAAGACAATTCCAGTATGTTTTTCTTTTTGCTGATGATGGTATCATAATCATTAAATTAAAAAATAACATTTGATGGACCATTCTTTTTCTCTTTGGTCGGTTTCATTTTGTTGTCATGATTTTAATTATCTTAGTGACCCTAAGGTTGATAACCTACACGTGTCGATGCAGTGTATGCATTAAATGCGAGCCCATTAATCTTGTTGTTACAAAAATGATATCAAGTTGAAGATGTTAGTTGAATGATAATGATAGAGATCGTAATAATAATAATAGCTACGTCAAAGGGAGAAATCTAGAGAGATCGGCCATTGGTGTTGATGCGGTGCTTACATTCTCGAGGGGGGTCATCACTCATCAATATAGTTATTGTGTTTCTCTTACAGCATTTACTCATTCCTTTTTATTAATTCTAGGTCTCGAGGGGGTCATTAATTGAGTCAATGGTTTATATACCTAATTTTAGATTACCAAGTGTTTTGCTTACTTATTAGTGTTTGTGGTACTAAGCTCTTCCTCTTTGAACTCAAAAACACTCGGCCCGTGGGCCGTTAGACTTCTTGTACCCTATAAATTTGATTTCATACCATCTTACAGAATTGCTCAAAAATCTTTATATGAGAACGTAGAAGCACAAGCGTTTAGAAGCGCGAAAATGTTTTTTTTGATTACATCTTTGAAGTACTTTAGTATTTATAAAATTACTGTTCTAAATAGCTCAAATTTTTACTATTAATATCTTTTTGTTAGAACATCTAAAGTTTAAAATTCCAACTTATATTTGTGCAAATGTATTTATTATAGGAAAATATTAATATATCATTGTGGCTCGTATTTCCTCTGATACTGTATTGATTTAACAACTAAATTCAATAAATTTAAAACCTCGAAAAAAACCTCAATTGCTTTGCTCCTTCTCGTTCGTTGCCTTGTAGTACTTTACTCGCCTCTCAAAATCACATCTTTCTATAGAGTATACTCCGAATTGAACTACCTAAGCATTCTAGTCATTTGTGAAGTGCTTTCGCCATTACCTAGAAGCTTTCTTGGTTTACACTTTTACAATTCACACAATCCTGAAAAAAAATGGCTATGGACTTGAAGCTTATAGCAGCAAGATTGCGCCATTGCGGGAAATTGCAAGCTTTTAAGCGTGGGGAATCAATTCAAGCTCATCTAATTAAACAAGGCATCTCCAAAAACGTGTTCCTTGCGAATAACGTGATGTCAATGTACTTGGATTTTGAGTCGTCGGGCGATGCACATAAAGTGTTCGATGAAATGACTGTGAGAAACATCGTCACTTGGACAACGATGGTTTCGGGTTATACAACTGATGGAAAACCCAGCAAGGCTATTGAGTTATACAGAAGCATGCTGGATGATCCCAAAGCCGAAGCGCCCAACGAGTTCATGTATTCAGCGGTTTTGAAAGCTTGTGGGTTAGTGGGTGATCTTCACCTGGGTCGTTTGATTCATGAAAGAATCGGTAAAGAGAATCTGGTAGACGATGTTGTTCTGATGAATGCTGTTTTGGATATGTATGTTAAGAATGGGAGACTCAGTGAAGCTAATACAGCTTTCTATGAGGTTCCACGGCCTAATTCAACTTCGTGGAACACTCTCATTTCTGGTTATTGTAAAGCAGGTTTGGTTGACGAAGCGGTTGGTTTGTTTTACCGGATTCCGCAGCCAAACGCCGTTTCTTGGAACTGTTTGATCTCTGGGTTTGTCGATAAAGGTAGCCCTCGTGCGTTGGAGTTTCTTATTGAGATGCATAGAGAAGGACTTGTGTTAGACGGTTTTGCTCTGCCGTGCGGCCTTAAAGCTTGCAGCTTTGGCGGCTTATTAGCAATGGGAAAACAGCTGCACTGTTGTGTCGTAAAGTCGGGTTTGGAGTCTAGCTCGTTCGCACTTTCTGCACTTATCGATATGTACTCCAACTGTAGCTCTCTAAGTGACGCAGCTGATGTTTTTCGTCAGGCGAAACCGGTCCTCCACAATAGTGTCGCTGTTTGGAATTCTATGCTCTCTGGATTTTTGATCAACGAAGAGAATAAAGCTGCATTAGGGCTGCTTCTGCAAACGTATCAGTCAGGTTTGTGTTTTGATTCCTACACTCTGAGTGGTGCTTTAAAGATATGCATCAACATAGACAACTTGAGACTCGGGCTTCAGGTACATGGTTTAGTTGTAATCAGTGGTTACGAGTTAGATTACATCGTGGGGAGCATTCTTATTGATCTACACGCAAACGTTGGGAATTTACAAGATGCACATAAACTGTTTAATAGGCTCCCAGATAAAGACATCATCGCGTTCTCTGGTCTAATAAGAGGCTGTGTGAAAACAGGTTTCAATTCCTTAGCATTTGATCTGTTTCGAGAACTAATCAAGCTGGGGATTGATGCTGACCGGTTCATCATCTCGAGTATTCTCAAAGTCTGTTCGAGTTTAGCGTCTCTTGGATGGGGTAAGCAGATTCATGGGATGTGTGTAAAGAAAGGTTTTGAATCAGAACCCGTCACAGCGACGGGACTAGTAGATATGTATGTGAAATGTGGTGAGATAGACAATGGAGTAGTGTTATTTGACGGTCTGTTAGAAAGAGACGTTGTC